TTGGTTTTAAGTGTTGGTATTGGATATTTTGTATGAGTGGTTTCTGCAGACATCCTGTTTTGATATTGTAACTGTATAGTTTTTGGAAAACCCACTCTGAAGGCCTTTTTACCTGGAAATTCTCCCTTGGAGATGGATTATGTGAGCTGTCTAGTGTACATTGATTTCCTTATGTTTTCTTTTGTTATCATTGATTTACGAGCGTCTTTTTCTTCTTCTTCTCCCCCATTAAGTTAGGAGTTTCTTCTTTCTCACGATATCTTAAAACATAATTTCATCATTTGAATTTGTTGATTGTTTTGTGGCATATAGAGTCTTGAATTACAATTATGTTATATAGTAGTAAACCTATAGTTACCTGAATCGCCCATTGGGGTAGCGATTCCGTTTCGGATTCTCGATTCTGCGTTTCCCAAGACGAAACTCGATTCTGAAAGAAAAGAATCACGTTTCCAACTTTCTCGAAATGCAATTCAATGTAGCTTATGAATCTCGGTTCTTGGAAGCCTGGAATCAAGATTCCATGTCACAGACTTTGTGATTCTTAGCTACACAACAATGCGATTTTGCTAGTGCGAAACATTGATTCCAAATTTTGGGAATTGCGAATCCATTTTGTTTGGAATAAAGATTCTATATCGCAAATATCTTGATTCTTAGCTACACAACAATGCGATTCTACTTGTGCGAAACGTTGATTCAAAATTTTTAGGAATTGTGAATTTGAAGTTGTTGTACATGGCATTAAAATCGAAGTTTTAAATATGGGGAATATGTGAAATTTTTTATTTCTTGTTTTCTAATTTCTATCCTTGTTTTCAAATTCCATCTTACTTTTCTTACCGGGTATAAATATTACTAAAAAATTTTTTACTTCAAATTTAATAATTTTTGGTAAATGATGTGGGTACTAATGTAATATTGTTTAATATATGATGGGTACCAAGGATAGAAATGATGGTCTTTATAGAAATATGGTAAATGATGGTCTTTATTGATCTTGAGAACGCTTATGATAGAGTACTTTGAAATTTGATTTGGCGGGCGTTAGAAAAGAAAGGTGTCTCTAAACACTACATCGACTTGGTAAGAGACATGTACGATGGAGCGTTAACTAGTGTACGAACAACTAGTGGAGAAACGAGTGAGTTTTCAGTGACAATAGGTCTACGTCACGGGCCTGCATTGAGCCCGTACATGTTTGTCTTAGTTATGGACGACTTACTTGGCACCTATCGGATGAGGTACCGTGGTGCATGTTGTTCGTAGATGACATAGTTTTGATTGACCCGAAACGGCATCAACACAAAGTTAGAACTTTGCAGGGATGCTTTAGAATCCAAATGTTTTAAAATTAGTTGGACTAAGACAGAGTATATGGAGTGCAACTTCAGTATTCATAGGAGTAGAGACGAGGAAGTAGTTAAGATTGACGGCCAGGAAGTACAAAAAAGATTACACTGTTGATATCATGGGTCAATAATTCAAGAAAATGAAGAGATCGAGGAAGATGTCACACACAGAATGAGAGCTGGGTGGGCAAAGTGGAGATGTGCAACTGGAATTTTATGTGATTGCTACATACCAATGAGGCTGAAGGGCAAGTTATATAGGACAACAGTAAGATTAGCTTTGCTCTATGGGCGGAATGTTGGGTAGACAAAAAGAAATATACCCATAGAATGAGTGTAGCAAAGATGAGGATGTTGAGATGGATGAGTGGTAAGACAAGAAGGGATAGAATTCGAAATGAATCTATTCGAGAGAATTTAGGCATGGCACCAATACGCGATAAAACGAGAGAGAGTAGACTTAAGAGGGCTGGCCCTGTGTGGTGTTGACCAAGTACATCACTTGTTAGGAGGTGCGAGTTAGTTCAAGTGAAAAGACTGAAAATGGCAAGGGCAAGGCCAAAAGGATGTGGTTGAAAGTAGTCCGAAAAGATATGGGAACTTATGGCCTCATTGAGGATATGACCTTTAATAGAGCCGAATGGAGAACTAGGATTTATGTAGCCGACCCCAAATAATTGGAAAAAGGCTAAAATGATGATGATGATGATATGATGGGTACCAAGATATACTATCACTGCTTTTCTTCAAGTAGAATAAGAGGATAAGAATATGAGCGAAGTGCCCTATGGTGTTTTAGGGTAAATTAATCATTAAATATCAGAAATTGACTTAAATTGAATAACTCAATTTTCAAAAGTCAAAAGTAGCAAAGAAGAATTTCTATGTCATCTACTTATTTAAAATTCAAGGAAAAGCGATAGAGGGAGCTCGTCCTTGTTCTCACTAGTTGTATGTCGTAGATCCGCTCCAGGTCTTGTAGGTGAATGGCTGTTGGTAGACCAAGTCTATTGTATGGAGTTGTTGACAAAGATATCATAAAGGTTGACATTGGTAATTGGACTAAATATATGCAGACCAAAATTCAATCTATTAATAGTTGATAAAATTTAAATATTTTTTGAATACTTCTTTCATATACTGGAGGGGATTGGTGCGCAAGTCCAGTATACAGAGAATCTCGATTCCTAAATGGTGAGAATCTTGATTCCAAGTTGAAGGGAACAACGATTCCAGAATTTTAGGAATCACGATTTTATATTTGTAGGAATCACGATTCCAATCTCATTGGATCGCGATTCTATAATCCACTAAACTATGTGGGGTCAGGTGTGATTCCATATAGGTATGAAACTTGATTCCAACATGAAGGGACATCGATTCTCACAAATAGGAAACAAGATTCCTATTTTATTGGATCACAATTCCGATATAGTGCGAATCACGATTTGTAATTCTGAATCGTACAAACAATGATTCCAAGTTTAAGAAACATCTGATACACGCGATTTCGACTCCTGAGATGATTCCGAATCATAGGTGTTTCCAACAACTTTAAGTAAAACCATGTATCACTTCCTTTTAAAAACATAAGTTTGCTAGTGTCTTCTGTTATGTATGGGCATGGATATCAAATTCTCAAAGTAATGTGATGGTTACACAAAAAAGACGAAATACTGTTTTGGCTTATTTATTCCTATACAACTTCGAAGTTGCTTATGGTAACTTTTATTCAGGTAGTGTTCTAAGTTTGTCTTTGTTCATAGTTTAAGTACCCCAGAATTCAGTTTCATGCAGCTTGATCTGGGCCATCTTCAAGTGAGGAACAGTTTCAGTTGGCATGGATGCCAGGAAAAAGATCCTTCTGCAGTTCATCTTGATGTTCTTCATGCGGAGGTTAGTATTGCACATGTTTTGTGTGTTATGTCTTTCTTCTCTCTCTCTCTCTCTCACGAATTAGTGGCTTTATGGCTTCCTTCTTGTTGTAATTGCAGATTCAGGGTATTAATATGGCTGTCGGAATCGACGGGGTGCTAGGGAAGCCTATGATAAGGCAAGGCCAAGGACTTCAAATCCAAGTGCGCCGTAGTTTGAGGGATGTTTTTCAGAGCCAATTCAGATTGTGTTTGTGATGATACTTTTATGGACTCCTATAGATCACTATGAACTGGAACATATAAGTATTTTTGCCTTTGGAATGCAAATGAACACATATGCGAATGTAGTTTGTTCTAAGTTGTCAGGTCTTGTTGGGATAACGAGAACCTCATGATGTCCTCCACTTGTAATGAGAACGTCCTCTTTCATTCTCACTTCTTTAACCTTGTGAACCGTGATGTTCTTTGTGTCACATTTTTGGGGCTGACCCCAGTATAATCGTAATTGAATTCAATCTTGTCTTTCACTATGGGGGCAAAAAAAGATAAAGAAAGAAAAAAAACGATTGAACTGGTTGCCATTATATTCATATGATGCTCTATATAGTTTAATTGTGTTATATTGCTAAGGCGTGGAGCTGGCAGATGGTGTGCGGAATCTGTGGGGAAAAATGTTGTGTTCATCTCATTGATTAATTATGATTTGTGGTCTTATATAGTTTAATCGGTAAGTGTTTTGTGTTAATACTACAGATAGTTTTGGGGCCTTTTGAGTTTATTTATCTTGTTGAGTTTTCCGTTAGTTTTCTCTTAGTTGTTGCCCCGATCTGACTTTGATCTTTGATTATCCTTAAATCATTTCTTTGGGGCTAAGCTACACATGTGAGTGAGATTCAATATTTGACCTTGTTTATAAGTAATTCAGTGTTATTTTACATTTTATTTGTGATTCTTTTACAATTTGGCAGATCCCAGGTACCTTCAAAGAGTGACATGTATTCTCTTTGTAGTGACTGTTATGGGACCCCTGCACATTAAGCATACAATAATTATTATGGATTCTTTTTGTAACAGTCATGTATTTCTTTACTGTAACAATCATGGGGTAATCATACATAATGGGCTGTAATAGTCATGCATAACGGTTGCAACTCCTATAGATATTCATCTACACGTGATTAACTCCCATAGGGATCTATGTATATATATAGGGCACATTGCCCCACGATTTGTAGAGAGTGAAAAAAAACATCTATATTTTCTTTCTCTTGTGCTTGAATATTACGTTCTCTCTCTTCTCTCTCAATCTTAACATGGTATCAGAGCAAGGAGTGAAAACCTAGGATATCCATTATTTCCGGTGACCTACTACTTGAGCTTGAAGTTGTGGTGTATCATTAACCTTGTATTTCGAACGTGATCATTTAGCTTTCCTCTACCAGTAAGTAAGTTTTTACCCCAAACTCCTCCTTTTTCAGCAACCGAATATTTCTGGCAACACCATATTTCTAGCAACCTCATATTTCCAACAACCTCACATTTCCAACAATCTCACATTTGAAACTAAGGAATTAGTACCTTGAAAAAGAGCCTTAGGGATCCTAGTTTGATAGAGAAGGAAAATGTTAGAAATCGGGCACAATATTTCCTTGGGAAGCAGTTAATCTGACCACCCAAGATTGATGATTACTACGGTTAAGCTCGATGGGACTAACTACTTAGAATGGTCCCAATTTGCCAAAATGTTCATAAGAAGCCGGAGGAAATTGGGTTATATCATAGGAGTCGTGAAAGAGCTTCCCATAAGAGATTCATGCCATGATGAATGGGAAAGTGAGACAATAATGGCATTGCTCCTTCATTCCTTGTAGTCAACTATCCGCAGGGGGCTGCTGTTTCTTAAGGCTACAAAGAATATATGGAAAGTAGTAATCAAGACATACTCGCAACGTGATGATATGGCTAAGATTTACCAATTGCATTGTGAAAGAGCCAATTTGCGGCAAGGACAAATGACTGTGGAAGAGTACGTAGGGATATTAAGGCGATATTGAGCTAAACTAGACCCCTGTCAGCCAATTAATCCCACTGTTGAAGACATTATAAAACAAGCCAAGCAATGAATGATCTTTGAGTTCTTAATAGGTTTACATCCTGACTTTGAACTTTAGAGAGGGAAAGTTCTAAGAAAGGACAAATTGCCTTTCTTGTGTCAGTGTATAATTATTTAAGAGGGGAGGCTAGTTAGAAAGGCTATTACAGAAGGGCTAAACTCAAGCATCCATCTTGAACGATCAGCTGTTGCAATAAGCTTCATGCAAGGAAAATGGGTACAAAATGACCAAATTGTTTCCCCCTCTCTCCTGCTGAAAAGGAGATTCATAATTGCTCCCATTGTTGTTAAAGGTCACACCCAAGAGCACTGACTTGCATCCACACTTGATGCTGAAACCAAGGAATGCAAGTGCCCATAATGTATCGAGTGAGGGGGAAGAAACCTCAGTCACACAATTAAATGTATCCAATCCAAGAGATCGGGCCATCAATGATTTACAACACTAGTTGACTGCCCTCAAGGCTTCACTCAGGTCTAAGACTCTAGTAGAGCATTCAGGTACATGTGCAATTGCAAACCATGCCTCCAACTCTACCTCTTATACACCCTAGTTTATTGATTCTGGGACTAATAACCATATGACTTGTAAGACCAGTGCCTTTGGGAGTGGTAAGTATAAATTTTCATAATCCTCGTCCTTACCCTTTGTAATACATGTGCCTTCTTTTCCTTCTATTAGCATCCTGACAAAAAAAAACTAAACTGCAGTGTCACATTTTACCGACATTGTGTTTTTCAAGACCTGAAAACGAGGAAAGGCGATTGGTGGTGGTTGTGACGACAATGGGCTGTACTTGTTCAACGCGGGATACACTTCTAATACACTTAGCTCTGAGTCTCGATGTCATGAGCAAGTCCTTATGGTGCACTCGATTAGGCCATGTCTCTAAAATCTTTAAAAGTATTATTTCCTGATAATTTTTGTCTCTTTGAATGTTCCTCAGTTACAACTGTCAATTATTTAAACGTTGTGCAAGATCTTCTTCTTCTAGTGAAAATTGAAGTTCTAAGCCTTTCCATCTTGTTCATTCTAATGTTTTGGGCCCTACTCCTATAATTTCTATATGTAGATAACGGTATTTTATCTCATTAGTCAATGACTACTCTCCTTATACTTGGATCTATCTTATGAAAAGTAGAGATGAAGTACCTTCAGTAGTTAAAATATTTCTTAAAATGTTCCAAGTTTGAGACTTAAATAATTTTTTTTGGTTTTGATAGTGCATGAGATTATCTATACAATGGATAAAAAAATATTTTCTTGAATATGATATATAAACTCAAACATCATGTTTCTATACACCATAACAAAATGGTGTAGTAGAATGGCAAAATACGCTTGTTAGAAGTTGTAAGAGAAATCTTAATAAGAATGAAGATTTCTAAGACATATTGGGATGAAGCAGTTTTTGTTGCTGCCTATATGATCAATAGAATGGCTACACTTATTCTCGATTGCACACTTCCTCTGTTTTCTCTCCCACTAAAAGCCTTTGGTTGTGTCTGCTTTGTGCATACCCTGGGGCTGGGGCCGGGGCCGGGGTTGGGGCTGGGGCTGAGGCCGGGGCCGAGGCCGAGGCCGACCTAGATTAAATTAGGGATCAGTCTACTAGATGTGTGCTCCTAGGATACTCGAAGTCTCAGAAAGGATCATCATCAGCATCATCATCATCATGTTAGCCTTTTCCCAATTAATTGAGGTCGGTTACATGAATCCTGGTTCTCCATTTTTCTCTATTAAAAGCCATGTCCTCAGTGAGGCCATTAGTCCCTATATCCCTTACCCTTTTTCTGTCCTTCCACTTGAACTAATTCGCACCTCCTAACAGGTGCTGTACTTGGTTGACGCCACACATGGCCAGCCCACCTAAGTCTACTCTTTCTCATTTTATCACCTATTAGTGCCTCGCCTAAATTCTCTCGAATAGATTCATTGCAAATTCTATACCTTTTTGTCTCGCCACTCATCCATCTCACCATCCTCATCTCTGTTACACTCATTCTATGGGTATATTGTTTTTTGCTCAACCAACATTCCACCCCATAGTCTCAAAAAATTATACAAGAGTTATTATTTGGAAACTAAAGAAAATATTTCTCAAAGTATGTTACCTTCCATGTGAATATACTCCATTTTTCTTTCAAAACAAATCTGGTATTCAATATGCCATCCGATAATCCTATTCCTCTTCCAATGATCACATAGTTCCGGTAATCTAACTAATGAACATGTGAAATCTACTAAGAAACAACTTAAGGTGTACACCTGGAAAACGAACGATCAAGGGAATGTTTGTTGTAAACGATCAACCCAACTTGTTGACTCGTTAGGTACTTCTTCTTCTTCTACCCATATGCCTAATCAACTCAATTTACCTATTGCCATAAGAAGAAAAAAGGACTCTACTTCTCATCCAATCAGTAAGTTTGTTTCTTATGCTTTACTTCCATCTTCCTTTTGTGCATACCTGTGCTCTACTTCCTTTGTTTTTATTCGCATCAAAGTTGCAGATGCAATGGCTCATCCACAATGGAAATGACCCATGATTAAGGAAATGATTGCCTTAGAGAAGTACCGAACTTGGGATGTAATTGCTCAGCTAGAAGGACAACATATTTGGATGCTGGTGGGTGTATACCCTGAAGCACGAACCAGATGGTTCAATTAAGAGATACAAAGCTCGTCTGGTAGCTAAGGGTTTTATATAATTTTATGGGATTGACTATGAGGAGATCAGTGCAAGTACTTTTGTCTATTGCAGTAAGCAAGAAATGGCCACTCCACCAATTAGGCGTGAAGAAGCCTTTCTTCATGCAATCTGCAAGAGGAAATGTATGTGGCATTACCTCCTCGAATTTATCTTTGGGAGAAAGGGAAGGTCTATAAATTGAGAAAAGCCATATATGGACTCAAACAATCACCTCGGGCGTGGTTCAAAAAATTTAGTATGGCAGTATGTCAGTTTGGATTTTAAAGAACTGTTTCAGATCATTTTGTATTTGTTGAAATAGATTCTTCTTCTACCACTATTAGCGATGACAAGTAGACCACCTAGGTGGCCTCGTCGACTAATCGGCTAGGCTACACGCCCATGCCTAAGATGGGGGCCTAGCTCGCCTAGATGGGTTCAAGGTGGGTGTTTAGCAGGCCTGTGCCACCCCTTTGAAAATAAAATAACATTAAATGCACCCAAACAAAAATTCAACCCTGTGTAGTGTCCTCTCTCTCTCTCTCTCTCTAGGGCCCATGTGCTCTCTCTACTTATAGAAAGAAGAATATGGCCTTAAAGTGTTCAGTGTTTGGCCCCTCTCTCTATCACACACACAAAGATACACCTGATCCCATATGCTTCCACTTTATTTGTGAGAAGAAGAATAAGAAGAAGATGACCTCCAAGTGTTTGATGCGAAGTCCCTCTCTCTCATAGACTCTCTCTCTCTCCCTCTCTC